ATATATAATAAAATATATAATATTGAATAAAAATGTATATTTAATTTAAAATATAATAAATAATAATAATAAATAAATAAATATAAAATTTTATATTAAATTGCGAAACCTTGCGAAATCTAGCAAAAACGATCAAAAATTTGCAAAAAGCATTATTATATAAATATGTATATCATTTATTTTTTAAAAAATTTTTGAAAATTTGTGAATTATTGCGAAATAATGCGAAATAATACGATATGTGAAATATTGCCTCCTGTGACCTGGATGGAATAATTAGTTAGAGGGTTGCATTTTTTTATTTGCCCTATTTCGCAATATTTCGCATTATATTTCGAAATATTTTAGCTAATTTATTTTTTCTAGTTTCGAATTATTGCAAATTATTTCAAAATATTGCGAAATTTTTTTCGTAATATAGCGTAATATATTTCGTAATATTCTGTAATTAAAAATTGCGAAATATTCTGCGTCGATTGTAATTATTGTAGAATTTTTTGGTTCATAATAACTTACGTAAGATTACGTTTATATAATTTGCTGATGCTACTATATATATTATTGTTATTAAACAAGCAACTGAGACATTCTCTCTTGTGAATGATCCTTGTAATCCATATTTATGTCTTTATACAATTGAATTTCTTGGTAATATCCAAGGTGATTTACCAATTCACTATGTAAATATTCTGGTTGAAACAATGAAATACTTGATTATTCAAACATTACAATCTGGAAAGCCGATTTGGTTTGGCGATGATGAAAAGGCTAGCGATTCTTCATTAGAAATCCTGGATATATAATAAAATTATTGATGATTAATTAGGTTTTAATATTAAATTTTGTATGACGAAAGTACAAAGATTACAATATATTCAAAATACAATAACATATACTATAGTTTTTACTAGTAAATTTCTTTTTTTTTAAATTTTACTTTTTTTTAAAAATAAAAATACTTCATTATATATTAACTATCAATTGTATTATATTTAGCATTATAACAACTAATTAACTTATCGTCAGTAGACATTATACATATTAGCACTTAAATATTGCATATTGAAAGAGCTTAAATATTACATTAGCTATCAAAAAAGCTTTAAGCTTAAACATTATATTAGTTATCAAAGAGCTTAATTAATGTAATGACAATATTATGTATAACATTTTTTCTCATAATATACTATTATTTTTTTTTAATATAAATACAGCCTGTTTTCTTTTTTATTTCACATTTTTCTTCGTAAAATATGATTAAAAATGGGTACGTTTAATCACTATATCAAATTGAGCAAAATCAAAATTTGTCTTTTGTTAATATCTAAATTTTTATAGAATTCGCACGTGAATAAGAAATTATGAGATTATTATATTTAATATCTCTATATAATTCAGAACAATATATCCAGAAGATCCAATTTTTTGACGAAGAGATAAATATTATATAAGCAAATCTAATTTTATTTTAAAACGGTGAGGCCATATAAGAAAGACAGCTTTGAGACTAAGATAACTGATAACTTCGATAAAATACTTATTGTAAGTAAAAACCCTAGTAATAAGGATAATGAACATACAATTGTAATGTATTATTCATTCAAATTAGGTATATAATTTTTGTATTTTATTTTGTTTAACAAAAGCAAAGATTGTCTTTTGTTAATATATTTTAAATTATATTTTTTATCAAAAACTTTAAAGATAATAAGAAAAATCTTGAACCAAAAGAAGGAAAAAATAAAATAAGTATGGCAAAAGAAAGTGAAAATGAGTGTGACGAAGAGGAGTCTGAAGAAAAAGAGTCCAAAGAAGAAAATAATAGAAATATTGAATTGATAGAGAGAAAAGATAAAGAGTTAGTTGATGAAAGTGATGAGGTTGAGGTTGAATTGATAGAGGGAGAAGATAAAGAGGAGTTAGTTGAAGATGAAAATGATAAAGTAGAAGAAGAAGAAGAAAGTGATGAGGTGGATAAAAGTAATGAGATGAAAGAAGAAATGATAAACAAAAAAAGAAAGCTTAAAGAATCACAAAATAGTAAAAAATGTATATATAAATAAATAATTAAATATTTTATAAAATTGAATATTACTAATCATAGTTTTTAATTTTTGCAGGATTTAAATCCAATATTACTCTAACTGATAACAAACTAAAAGCTGCAAAACTGTATAAAGAGTTTCTTCTATTAGAGAAAGGGCTACTGGTTATAGCACCATTTTTTGATAATAATGCACAAGTTCACAATCAAACTATTATAATAATATAAAGAAGTATTTAAAAATAATAATACAGAGTTCAACTTCAAAGATAATGCAATTTGATTCTTTATTGATGAATGAAGCACTTAGTATGGATCTATATCAATAAGAACAAGAGCCTGCTGTATCAATTTTATCAGAATTTGATAATAGTAACTTACGAGATCAAATTAATTTGTTGCGAAAAGTTTCTGAATTACTATCTGATATTTTAACAAATACATCATTATCATCTAACACAAATAATCAACAAATATTAATATTTTCTTCT